AGCAAAATGGGAATGATAATTGAAAATGTATAGTATTATACAATATGCCTCATGATTTGAAGCATAGATCCAGTGAATTATCCTGAGTAAATTAACAATCCACTTCCTTTTTTCTATCTGGAATCTAATGAAATGTTTTAAAGCCCTTGCCCTTAAAATGAAAAGGTAAGTATACAAAGAGAATTGAAAGATTTAATAGGATGAGAAATTGCTTAATATAAATCTTAGTCATGACACTCCAAATTCAGAACCATTTGTTTTAAATTTAAATAAAACAAAATAAATAAAATAAAATTTTATTTTAAATAAATAAAATTCAGTTCATTTTAGCCACAGACTTTGTTTTTCAAATGACCTTATGATTCAGCTCTACCTGTGCTCATTCTGTGACAGTTCATTCCAGAAGCGACACAATCGTACAAAGCTGAACATAAAATAAATCTTGGTTTCTTACTGAATTTTAGATTACATTGGGAATGCTTTTGGAATAATTCCAGACCTTAGGGGAAAAAACATCTTCCCAACTCTAAAGTCCCAGGATCCATCTAAACTTCTCATGTTCACAGGCAGAGGCTCAAAAAAAAAAAAAAATTACAGGCAAGATTAAAAGATCAGAAAGGCCTTCGCATTGGGCGAGTGTATGATTCTGCACGATTTGTGTCTGTGCAGTCATCGTGTCTTTCTCTAGCCTTCTTTGTCTGTTTCCAAAACACAAATGTTCCAAGTTTTGGATGCTGCGACTTCATGTTCATGTGGTTTCAAGTTTAGCCCTCCCCCAGCCCCCAAAATGTCTGATCTTATGGACTATGAAAAACAGGCATTTCACAGATTTAGATAAATTTATAGTGTGCAATAGAACTAGCTCATAGAATTAAAATTTGATTTTTTTAAGAACATCGTGAGTACCTACTACCTGACGGATGAATTTTAGTGGTACACCTTATGTTATTTATTCCTCACAACAGCTGTGCTGTCCCAGTTTACAAATAAGGAAAACTGAGGCTTAGAGAAATTAAGGAGCTTTTCCATAATTTGTCAGCTAGGAAATGACACAATCTGAGTTCAGATCTAAGTTTTCAGACCCCCAAGTCAAGTGTCACTGTTTCAGCTTTAAATTAGAATTCCTTGGAAAGCCTAAAGGTGGTGCAAAGACCTCTCACGATTTCTTTTCATAGTTAATTTATGAAAAATGCAACACGCAGTCTCATCATCAAAGCTCACAACTATCTTTTTCATCCCTATTGGTACCCTGTTGATTCTTCCAAACTAAACACACCTGCATATATTCAGACTTATTATACTTTATTTTTTAAAATGATTTCAACTTTCCACTTCAGGGAGTACACATGCATGTTTGTTACATGGGTATACTGCGCAGTGCTGAGGTTTGTGGTTCGATTGATTGATCCAGTCACCCAGGTATTGAGCATGGTAACCAAGAGTTAGTTTCTCATCCCTTGCCCTTCTCCCTCTCTCCCCCTTCTAGAAATCCCCAGGGTCTACTGTTGCCATCTTTATGTCCATGTCATACTTTTTAATGATGTAAACTAACTATAGTGGAACCCAAGACCTTAAAGGTCCCTGAAGGGGAAAAAAAAAAACGTTCATTATGGCACCGTATTATGACCAGGTCATCCCAGTCTGTGCTGTGACATGAGCCCTAATGATTTTCTCATTAGCAGATGCTTTAGCTGGTTTCCATGAAGGCTTTCCATAGTGACTGGAGGTCATGGGCAACTACTATCAGGTTCCGTCTCAACTTTTCACTTTCACAGGCAGACGCTCCAAAAATAAATTACAGGCAAGCTTAGAAGATCAGAAAGGCTTTCCCACCATGCGAGTGGGTGATTCATTGGATTTGTGTATGTTACAGTCATTGTGTCTTTTTCTACGCTTCTTTCTGTTTTCAAAACACAAAACTGCAGAAACCACCTCACCCTCTTTATGTCCTTTGGGATCATGCTAATTCTGTTTTTACTCCGAAATGGGTTTTAGGATTGAAGGGCCATGTCGAATGGTGATAATTCTATTCCAGTTGGACAAGACCCTAGAAAAAAAATTCTTTTAAATGAGTTTCAGTTTGTGTGTTTTTTAAAAAAAGAGCAAAATGTATGCCTGTGTGTTTGTTTTTACACGCTTCTTTCTTTTTGTCTTATTTTGCTTTTTAATGAGTCATTAGCATTGGAAGATGAAAAACAATTTTTCTCTAGCCAAGAAAATATTGCAGGTATCACACATTCTTCTACATTGAAGCAGAGGCTCTCCAATCCCCCTTCTTAATGAAAAGAGTTTTTCGCAGGTGGAAAGAAAAGCAACACTTGCTCCTGGGATGATAAAAAGCCACTTTTCACTGCAAAAATTGCTGTAAGGAGCTGGGCTTTTTATTCGGCATTCCTTCTGACCTCAAACCAGCCTTCATCTCTCATTGCGTTTTTGTGGAAGGGTTATAGATGTACTCTACATTGTTGACTTATCATGGAGACAGTAGTAACTCTCCAAATTCCCTGTGGGCAAAGAGATTACAGTCTCCCTGCTAATAATTACACTTCACTTCTATAAAATTTATACTTAAAAGAAAACAATGGAAAATGTAGTACAAACCCATTGTAATATTTATGCAGATCTGTTGACTCACTGTTACTTAGGCGTCATTGAATTCTTCACGGCTCAAGATGGGGCTAAACATTCAGGGAGGTAACTGCACTCATTCTTTATCATTTGTGTTATTTGGGATTTTACTTTTTTTCTTTATTTTTGCTTTTCTATCATATGAGAATTGTTCAGATGACAGCACATCCAACAACAAAATTCAGCCCTCTACCCTATGAAAATGTCCTCTCTTAGACTATCTTGTTAGTTGTGACATATTTTATTCTAAACTAAAAATAACTGGGAACTGGGTTTGTATTTATTTTACTCTCTCTCTCTCTCTTACTCATTTTATTTTATTTACTTTTCTTATTTATTTGTTTATTTATTTATTTGTTGAGACAGGGTCTCACTCTGTCGCCCAAGTTGGAGTGCCAGTGTCAGAGCCCCAGGTTCAAGCAATTCTCCTGACTCAGCCTCCCAAGTAGCTGGGATTACATAGGCCTGCCACCATGCCCAGCTAATTTATTTTTTATACTTTAAGTTCTGGGGTACATGTGCAGAATGTGCAGGTTTCTTACATAGGTATACACGTGCCATAGTGGTTTGCTATATCTATCACCTCATCATCTACATTATTTCTCCTAATGCTATTCCTCCCCTAACCCCCCATCTTCCAACAGGTCCCAGTGTGTGATGTTCCCCTCCCTGTGTCCATGTGTTCTCATTGTTCAACTCCCACTTATGAGTGAGAACGTGCAGTGTTTGGTTTTCTATTCTTGTGTCAGTTTGCTAAGAACAATGGTTTCCAGCTTCATCCATGTCTCTGCAAAGGACATGAACCGATCCTTCTTGATGGCTGCATAATATTCCATGGTGTATATATGCCACATTTTCTTTATCCAGTCTATCACTGATGGGTATTTGGGTTGGTTCCACGTCTTTGCTATTGTGAACAGTGCCGAAATAAACATATGTGTGCATATGTCATTATAACAGAATGTTTTATAATTCTTTGGGTATATACCCCGTAATGGGATTGCTGGGTCAAATGGTATTTCTAGTTCTAGATCCTTGAGTAACTGCCACACTGTCTTCCACAATGGTTGAACTAATTCACACTCCCACCAACAGTGAAAAAGTGTTCCTATTTCTCTGCATCCTTTCCAGCATCTGTTGTCTCCTGACTTTTTAATGATCACCATTCTAACTGGCTTGAGATGGTATCTCATTGTGGTTTTGATCTGCATTTCTTTAATGACCAGTGATGATAAGCTTTTTTTCATATGTTTCTTGGCTGCATAAGTGTCTTTTCTTGAGAAGTGTCTGTTAATATCCTTTGCCCATTTTTGATGGGTTGTTTGTTTTTTTCTTGTAAATTTGTTTAAGTTCTTTGTAGATTCCGGATATTAGCTCTTTGTCAGATAGATAGATTGCAAAAATTTTCTCCCATTCTGTAAGTTGTCTGTTCACTCTGGTGATAGTTTAATTATATCGCATTTGTCTATTTTGGCTTTTGTTGCCGTTGCTTTTGGTGTTTCGATCATGAAGTCCTTGCCTATGCCTATGTCCTGAATGGTATTGCCTAGGTTTTCTTCTAGGGTTTATATCATTTTACTTCTTATGTTTAAGTCTTTAATCTATCTTGAGTTAATTTTTGTATCAGGTATAAGGAAGGTATCCAGTTTCAGCTTTCTGCACATGGCTAGTCAGTTTTCCCAGCACCATTTATTAAATAGGAAATCCTTTCCCCATTGCTTGTTTTTGTCAGGTTTGTCAAAGATCAGATAGTTGTAGATGTGTGGCATTATTTCTGAGGCCCCTGTCCTGTTTTATTGGTCTATATCTCGTTTTGGTGCCAGTACCATGTTGTTTTGATTACTGTAGCCTTGTAGTACAGTTTGAAGTCAAGTAGCATGATGCCTACAGCTTTGTTTTTTTGTTTATTTGTTTGGTTTTGCTTAGGATTGTCCTAGTTATGTGGATTCTTTTTTGGTTTCATATGAAATTTAAGGTGTATTTTTCCAATTCTGTCAAGAAAGTCAATGGTAGCTTGTTGGGGATAGCATTGAATCTATAAATTACTTTGGGCAGTATGGCCATTTTCACAATATTGATTCTTCCTAACCATGAGCATGGAATGGTTTTCCATCTGTTTGTGTCCTCTCTTATTTCCTTGAGCAGTGGTTTGTAGTTCTCCTTGAAGAGGTCCTTCACATCCCTTGCTAGTTGTATTCCTAGGTATTTGATTCTCTTTGTAGCAATTGTAAATGGGAGTTCACTCATGATTTGGCTCTCTGTTTGTCTATTACTGGTGTATAGGAATGCTTGTGATTTTTGCACATTGGTTTTGTATCCTGAGACTTTGCTGAAGTTGCTCATCAGTTTAGGGAGATTTTGACATCCAGCTCTGTGTGTGTGTGTGTGTGTGTGTGTGTGTGTGTGTGTGTGTGTGTGTTTTCAGTAGAGACAGGGTTTCATCATGTTGGCCAGGCAAATCTGAAACTCCTGACCTCAAGTGATCCACCCACTTTAGTCTCCCAAAATGCTGGGACTATAGGCATGAGCCACCATCTCCAGCCTCTCTTACTCGTTTTATAATAGACATAGTCTTTAAAAAATATAATCCATTTGATTGCCCAATTATTTGCTGCAAAAAAAAATGTTGAAAACTGTCCCTTCCAGTCAACAGATATTTATTAAGCACCTACCCTTTAAAGACCCTGTTCAGGATGCCCAGAATACAAGGAGGGAACAAAATAGACAACAATGTCTCCCCTTTGAAGCTGGCATTTGAGTTGCAGGGGTGAGGGGCAAGTGGTGGTGGATCTGACATCTAACACATTTGTGTTATCACTGTGTGCTCAAATTCATATATGTGTATTTCCCAAACTGGCCCAATCATCACAAACATGCACATATGCATGGTTAGACTGCTGTTATCCACATTTTGCAAGTGAAAAAACTGAGGCACAGCAAGGAGAAGTAATGTATCTGTCACCCAGGTGGTGAATGACAAGTCCCAGATTCTAGCCTGAACAGTTTGTCTCTGGGATCTGTGTTTTTACAATAACTAAAATTGTCACTCACAGCTAGGCATGGTGGGCTGTTCCTATGGTCCCAGCTACTCGGGAGGCTGAGATGAGAAGGTCACTTGACTCTAGGAGTCTGAGGCTGCAATGAGCTATGATCACTCCACTGCACTCTAGCCCAGGCAACAGAGAGAAAAAAGAAAATTTTTTAAAATAAATTTTAACAAAAACTGCTGCTCCCTGTTAACAATTATTGTGGCAGGTTTTTAGTGGCAAAGAATTCTGAAGTATTTTGCTGAGTGCTCCCACCTAGGAAACGAGTCTTTTACCTAACTTGGCATTTTATATCAACCACAATCCAGCAGTTTCCATAAACAGAAAAATTATACCATGACTGTTTATCTAAAGCTATACGTAAGGCTCTCGATATATTTATTTAAAGCTCTCCATGTATATATGTGGTTTACGTTTCTCCCAGCTAACCTTTCCATATGTATATTCCCTATATATATATGGAATATATAACCTTTCCATATATATTCCATATATATACTCCGTGTATACTCCTTTCCATATGTATATTCCATATATGTATATGGAATATATAACTTTCCATATATATTCCATATATACATATGGAATATATAACCTTTCCATATATATTCCATGTATATACTTCCTATATATTTCCATATATATACTCCATGTCTTGTGCCAGTTTTCAAAGGGAATGCTTCCAGTTTTTGCCCATTCAGTATGATATTGGTTGTGGGTTTGTTGTAAATAGCTTTTATTATTTTGTGATGCATTCCTTCGATACCTAGTTTATTGAGAGTTTTTAGCATAAAGGGCTATTGAATTTTGTCAAAGGCCTTCTCTGCATCTGTTGAGATAATCATGTGCTTTTGTCTTTGGTTCTATTTATGTGGATTACATTAATGGACTTGCATATGCTGAACAAGTCTTGCATACCCTGGATGAAGTCTACTTGATCATGATGGATAAGCTTTTTGTTGTGCTATTGCAATCAGTTTGCCAGAATTTTATTGAAGATTTTTGCATCTATGTTCATCATGGATATTGGCCTGAAGCTTTCTTTTTTTGTTGAGTCTCTGCTGGGTTTTGGTATCAGAATGATGTTGGTCTCATAAAATGAGTTGGGGAGGATTCCCTCTTTTTGTATTGTTTAAAATAGTTTCAGAAGGATTGGTACAATCTCCTCTTTGTATGTCTAGTAGAATTTGGCTGTGAACCCACCTGGACCTGGGTTCTTTTTGGTTGGCAGGCTATTCATTGCTGCCTCAACTTCAGCCCTTGTTATTGGTCTATTCAGGGATTCACCCTCTTCCTGGTTTAGTCTTGGGAGGGCGCAAGTGTCCAGGAATTTATCAATTTCTTCCAGGTTTACTGGTTTATGTGCATAGAGTTGTTTGTAGTAATCTCTGATTGTAGTTGTATTTCTGTGGGATCAGTGGTGATATCCCATTTATCTTTTTTATTGCATCTATTTGATTATCCTTTTATTTTTTATTAATCTGGCCAGTGGTCTATTTTGTTGATCATTTCAAAAACCAGGTCCTGGATTTATTGATTTTTTGAAGGGTTTTTTGTATCTCTATCTCCTTCAGTTCTGTTCTGATCTTAGTTATTTCTTGTCTTCTGCTAGGTTTTGAGTTTTTTTGATCTTGCTCCTCTAGCTCTTTCAATTTTGATGATAGATTGTCAATTTTAGATCTTTTCTTGCTTCTCATGTGGGCATTAATTGCTATAAATTTCCCCCTAGACACTGCTTTGAATGTGTCCCAGAGATTTTGGTACGTTGTGTCTTGGTTCTCATTGGTTTTGAAGAACATCTTTATTTCTGCCTTCATTTCGTTGTTTATCCAGTCAACATTCAGGAGCCAGTTGTTTAGTTTCCATGAAGTTGTGCAGTTTTTAGTTAGTTTCTTTATCCTGAGATCTAATTTGATTGCACTGTGGTCTGAGAGACTCTTTGTTATGATTTCCATTCTTTTGCATTTGCTGAGGAGTGATTTACTTCCCATTATGTGGTCAATTTTAGAGTAAGCGCAATGAGGTGCTGAGAAGAATGTATTCTGTGGCTTTGGGGTGGAGCGTTCTGTAGATGTCTATTAGCCCTGCTCGTTCCAGTTCTGCATTCAAGTCCTGGATATCCTTGTTGATTTTCTGTCTCGTTGATCTGTCTAATGTTGACAGTGGAGTGTTAAAGTCTCTCACTATTATTGTGCAGGAGTCTAAGTCTCTTTGTAGGTCATTAGGAACTTGCTTTATGTATCTGGGTGCTCCTGTATTGGGTGCATATATATTTAGGATAGTTAGCTCTTCTTTCTTGTTGGATTGATCCTTTTACCATTATGTAATGCCCTTCTTTGTCTCTTTTGATCTTTTTTGGCTTAAAGTCCATTTTATCAGAGACTAGAATTGCAACCCTCCTTTTTTTTGCTCTCTATTTGCTTGGTAGATCTTCTTCCATCCATTTATTTTGAGTCTATGTGTGTCATTGCATGTGAGATGGTCGCCTGAAGACAGCACACCAATGGGTCTTGACTTTTTACCCAGTTTGCCTGTCTGTGTCTTTTGATTGGGGCATTTAGGCCATTTACATTTAACGTTAATATTGTTATGTGTGAGTTTGATCCTGCCATTTTGTTACTGGTTGTTTTGCCCATTTGTCGATGCCATTTCCTCATTGCATCATTGGTCTTTACCATTTTGTTCATTTTTGTAGTGGCTGGTACTAGATTTTTTTGTTGTATTTATTGCTCACTTCAGGGGCTCTTGTAAGACAGGTCTGGTGGTGAAGAAATCTCTCAGTAATTGCTTGTTCATAAAGGATTCTCCTTCACTTATGAAGCTTAGTTTTGCTGGATACGAGATTCTGGGTTGACAGTTCTTTTCTTTAAGGATGTTGAATACTGGCTCCCACTCTCTTCTAGCTTGTAGGGTTTCTGCCAAGAGATCTGTGGGTCTGATGGGCTTCCCTTTGTGGGTAACCCGAACTTTCTCTCTGGCTGCCCTTAGCATTTTTTCCTTCATTTCAAACCTGGTGAATCTGACAACTATGTGCCTTGGGATTGCTCTTCTTGAGGAATATCTTTGTGGTGTTCTCTGTAGTTCCTGGACTTGAATATTGGCCTACCTTGCTAGGTTGGGGAAGTTCTCCTTGATAATATCCTGAAGAGTGTTTTCCACTTGGATTCATTCTGTCCATCACATTCAGGTACACCGATCAAGCGTAGATTAGGTCTTTTCACATAATCCCATATTTCTTGGAGGCTTTGTTCATTTTTCACTTTTTTTTCTCTTTTCTTGCCTTCTCTTTTTATTTCGTTGAGATGATCTTCAATCTCTGATATCCTTTCTTCTGCTTGATCGATTCAGCTATTGAAACTTGTATATGCTTCACGAAGTTCTCATGCTGTGTTTTTCAGCTCCATCAAGTCGTTTATGTTCTTCTCTAGTCTTGTTATTCTACTTAGCATTTCATCTAATCTTTTTTCAAGGTACTTAGTTTCTTTGTGTTGGGTTAAAACATGTTCTTTTAGCTCAGAGAAGTTTGTTATCTTTGTGTTGGGTTAAAACATGTTCTTTTAGCTCAGAGAAGTTTGTTATTACCCATCTTCTGAATCCTGCTTCTGTCAGCTCATCAGAATCGTTTTCTGACCTGTTTTGTTGCCATGTTGGTGAGTCGTTGTGATCTCTCTGGGGAGGAGAGGCATTCTGGACTTTGATATTTTCATCCTTTTTGCACTGGTTTCTTCCCATGTCCTCTGAGTGGACATCGTTTCTGTTAAAGTTAGGGTTATTTCTCCTGTATGAGACTTTTTTTTTAACACAGGTGTCAGTGTGCTGATTGCGACAGTCTGTCTGTTGTCTGCCTGTGGAAGCGCTGCTGGGCTTCCTTGGACTCAGCCAGGCTGCTGTTTATTCTTCACCTGGTTTCTGCTTATTCCAGTTGGCTTACCCCCGCCTTCCCAATGGCAGGCTTCTTCCCCTCTGCTGAGCCTGCTGCTCCCAGATGGAGTTCTGTCTGATGTGTTAACTGCGAAACTCTCCCGGGAGAGGGATTCCAGTTGCTTGATCTTGTGGTGGTGGGGCCTATCTGGCCTCCCTGTTTTCAACTCTCCCTTCTGTGGGACGGGTAGTTCCTTTTCGAAAACTTTCTTGTGTTAGTCCAAGTCTCCGCCCTGGTCTGCACTGACAAGGCACTGGTCTGTCCACGGCTGCCGGCCTGGGCTGTCACCTGGGTCTCAAGTCTGGGCAGTTCTCAGCCAGGCAGCATTTTCCTGGTCTGTGTGCTGCCAAAGTCTCAGAGTGAATTGCTGCATCTGATTCGGAGTACCAAGGGGGTGATGCCCCCCCAAGCCTCTGAGCGAGCCAGATGCACTTTCCAGTGGGGCAGTGCCCCACCTTACCTTGGCTCACTGCCTTTGGGCTGCTTTCACCACCTTTTTGGGGTGTTAATCCCACTGTTCAACCAGTGTTTTTGGGATGAACCAGTACCTCACTCGGAGACGTGGATATCACTCTGGTTCTGTGTCTCAAACTCAGTGGGAGCTGCACTCCAGAAACGCTTCCTTTCAGTCATCTTGGTCCCAAGTCCCCCAACTTTTTAAGTTAGAAACAAAGTACATGTTCTGCTGATCATTTCTCTCACTGATATATATGATTAGTAGGTGATCTGGAATTTAGTTCTATGTACACATTTCTGCATATCCTGCAATGTCAACAAGATATGAACATGCTTTATTTGTTCATTTCAACAAATATTTTCAGTACCTATTATGTGCCTGGCATTATACTAGGCCCTGTGGATATCAAAATAAGTAAATGCAGTCTTGCCTTGAGTAATATAATATTGCAGCATAGTTCATGGTACTGATAATTCTTGAAGTTCATGTGTGTGTTAATTACCTATTTATAGGTTATCCATTAATGGGAAACTTCCCAGGGTCTACTAGGCATTTAAAGATGGCACAGTGAGCTTATTATTATAAATGAATTAGGCCAACCATTTTCTTAAAATTGTTTATCCTAATTTAAAATACAGATAAGATTATATGACTTTCTAAAATCATCTTGAAGTACTAAAATACTTAAGCAAATCATGAAATCAGAAAGGATAATTTAGTTTTATACTTATTTCTATTATCAGCATTTGTAGAACATTTCATATTTATTACTATTTCCTAGTTTATTCAGAAAATTGCAAGGGTGTTAACGAAAAAAAATTCACCAATATTGCAAGTAATCCCATGAGCCAGCCCACCCTAACAGAGAGGGACTCATTTTCACGTGTGGACTGTGCTTTCTCCCAGCTAACCTTGCTTCTCGAGGGTTGTCCGAGTCATCTCCAGGGACACAATGGTAAAAGTTGCTTCACATTTTGAGTCTTTTCGGACACAAACACCACACATGTGCCTATATATGACCATCACTCACTTGGATAGAGGCTAGAATTGTCAGGACAATGCAAGTCTGATTTCTCAGATCCAGCAACTTCAATCCTCGGAAAATTAGATTAACACTCTCAGCCTGTGAGAGGAAATCAAAGTGGTGGCAGAAATAATCCCGGAGCTCAGACTGAAATCGTTTCCTCATGAGCTTTTTATTTTCATCCTCTGTGGTTTCCAAAACTCAAATTCCTAACCTGGTATCTCTCTAAAGGCTGAGTCCTTCGTGTAAATGCATATTTCCTTTGCTCTCTTTTAATAGAACTCAAGATTGGCTGGGCGCCGTGGCTCATGCCTGTAATCCCCGCATTTTGAATGACCAAGGTGGACGGATACCTGAGGTCAGGAGTTCAAGCCTGGCCAACATGGTGAAGCTCCATCTCTACTAAAAATACAAAAAATTAGCTGGGCATGGTGGCAGGCACCTGTAATCCCAGCTACTTGGGAGGCTGAGGCAGGAGAATAGTCTGAACTCAGGAGGCAGAGGTTGCAGTGAGCCGAGACTGCCCCATTGCACTCCTGCTTGGGTGACAAGAACAAATCTCTGTCAAAAAAAAACCTCAAGATTATCTCAGTTTCTTTTTTTCGATGGCTTCCTGCAGCTAATTTATAGCAAATTACATAGCTTGTTGGATTTTTTACCTAATTCATTCTTTTCATCTGAGCCTTCTGTCTATCCTCCTCTTCCCACGTCTGTCCTAGATCCATCCCACATGTGTGACTATTGTACTACTCTTCCCTATCTCAAACATAATAGCATTACGAATACCAGCATTTATTTACAATGACAAAACAACTGAGTTTTGTAATTACATAATGTCAGTTTATCAATATATAATATGCACCTTATACAGTCAGGAAGAGGAACACTTCTATCCTCCTACAATTATGATGTGAAAGGTGGAATGATCCCTTACACAGCAATTTTAAGTGTATTCATGATTTTAAATTACTTAAAACAAGTGCTGAGAAACTCCCATTTTCAAACTCTTTGTTTTCCTGGCTAAACAGAGGAATAAAATGCTACTTAAATGCACGATTCCATTCTAGAAGAATGGATTCTGTTAGGAAAGAAATCTTGGGGTGGCTCTTTCATTTAATCAAGCATTCTGATGGCTTTTGTATATGCCCAGGTTGGCCTGGAACTGAGTTTGAGAGTAAGAAACAGAGAAAGATGAATTACTGTATATATTAATCTGAGAAACACATGGAGTTTCCTGCAGGAAATCTGAGAGGAAAAGAATAAAGAACAAAAATGAGAGGAGAGTGAGGGCAGTCAGCAAGATCAGAGCGCTTGGAACATATCAGAAGCCAGTAAAAAATTCCAGGCACCCCCTGCCCAAAAAAGTTCAAGAATAGGGATGCCTGCCTTTCAAATTAAGATGTTTATCATTCCTGCTCCTTAAACTTTCCTTACCTCCCCCAAATTACTAGTAAAATCTCTTAGCACAGAATATCTTTGTGTGAGGGAAATTCTGTGGAAACCAGAAGAGGAAGCTGAGCTATTGGGGTCCACAAAGAAAAGACTAGGTATATTCCAGGCAAGATACTGGGATTTGAACCTGAAGAAGGATCTTAGAGCCAGGGATTACTAAAAGAATTTAAGCCCCTAAAAATTCATAGACATCCTGCAGGTCTTTAAAGTTTCCCTGGGTGCTGAAATGAAAAAAGGTAGTCCGGTATAAGCCAGTTTTTGAGGCTAGCCGCTGATATGTGTACTACAATGAAACATCAGCTTGTCAAACTGATGACAAATGTCAATTTGTCACTGTCCCACTTAAAATGTGAGGCCTACAACTAAGCACAATTTCCAAATAACTTATTTCCAGCACAGAGAAGTTGGGATGTCTCTCATTTCCTGAATCTTATTATCCTTCTGTGGATACTGTAAAGCAGTTGAGGTTTGCCTTATGTATTTCTACCCACACATGCTTATCTCATAGCCACAGATTTTTTATTCACATGAACAACTGTCTCCTCTCCCCATTCCCTAAAGCTGTATATTTTTTTTTAAATAATCTGAACTTAAGACGTGATAGGTTTCCCTATTAAATTTTGTCTTTTGGGTTTTTGTGGCCAGCATTGCAACCTGTTCTAGCATTTTAGAGTTCTGATTCTGTTACCCCTTGTGTCAGCTGCAGATTGGATCTATCTGCCCTCACCCACAAGGGGCCATAAGGAGCTGTGGAAAAAGAAAAGGAACGCAAATCTCAAGCCCTGGACTGGCGCCCCACATCCCTGCTAACTGGGCATGTGGCAAGCACCAGGCCAGTGATTTACCCTCTCAGAACCTAAGTTTCCAGAGTTTGTAAGGGAGAAACACAAATCTCTGGCAAACTTGCCTCAGGTTATTATGAAAACCAAGTGGTGTGCATGTGCACGTGTGTGTGTGTGTGTGTTTGTGTGTATTACACACCTATCAAGTTGGCTTTTTAAACTAAAATAATTGTTATGTAAATGCACACAGCATTGGTGTGATTAGCACCTGTGATTAGTATTCTGTGAGGCCAGGATAACACCGCCAATAACACCACAATAAATGTGGATCCCAATGGGGTAACTTAAGATTTTCTTCCAGACCAGGACTGGCGGCTCATGTCTGTAATCCTAGCATTTTAGGAGGCCAAGGTAGGCAGATTGCCTGAGCTCAGGAGTTTGAGACCACCCTGGCCAACACGGTGAAACCCTGTCTCTACTAAAAAACAAAACGTAAATTAGCCAGGCGTGGTGGCAGGTTCCTGTAGTCCGAGCTATTCAGGAGGCTGAGCACAGGGTTTGCTTATTGTGCCACTACATTCCAGCCTGGGTAACAAAGTGAGACTCTGTCTCTTTAAAAAAAAAAAAAGGTCCTTCCAGCCCTCCATCTCAGCTCTTGATACACACAATTAATTATCCAGCATGTTCTTCTTGAACACCAACTACACATCAGACCCAAGGTGTTCCACATAAAATCAATGAGACAAAAGGATCTTATCTAAAGCGATCAATAAGAAATTTGAAAAGATTAAAGGGGAGATTTCAGCCACCAATGAGGGAATATTTACTATTAAATATTATTACTCTGACTTCAAGATGGAAGAGGATGTTTCTTGCTATTTTTCAGATGAAAAGGAAAAAGAGATCATTTCCTTCTAACTCAGAAAAAAAAAAAAACAGGGAAAGACTTTAATACTCTCAGCAGATCATATTACTTCTAAATTATCTTCACACTTCTTTGTTTTCTGGTGTATACAAAGAAAAGAAGCAATCATCAGAGATGATTTTGAAGGCAGTGTTTTTCCCAATGACTAGTAAAATCTAAGGAGATTCCCCAAGGCTGAATCTCAGAAGAAGCTAATAAAACACTGATAAGAAAGAAATATGAGAGCGTCTGGTTGAAATGTCCTGGGGTGGACCCTGGGCATTATCAGGGAAATCTAATGCAAGTCCTAGGTGAGAACCACCATGGAAGAGACAAAGTTAGGAAAGTTCAAGTTCACAGCTCTGTGGAGGAGCAGCCTATGAGACAATAAATGATAATAAGAATATACAAGTCTTATTTTTAAAACTATCTTACATGTTTCCTCTGAAAGTTTGCTTTAAAATTATTACCTTAAATAACGTTATTCCTGAAACTATTAAGATACAAATTTGAGGAGCATGGTAAATAATATAAAAGTTGCAGGCTGGGCACAGTGGCTCATACTTGGAATCACAATACTTTGGGAGGCCGAGGCAGGAGGATTGCTTGAGCCCAAGAGGTTGCTGTAGTGAGGTTATAGTGAGCCGTGACTGTACCGCTGCACCCCAGCCTGGGTGTCAGAGCAAGACCCTTCTCTAAAATATGTACATATATATACACATATATAGATATACACATATATACATATACATATATATATATATACACACACACACGTATATATGTAAGAAAAGAGACTTGCTATGAAAGCTTGAGGAAAATATAATTATCTCAGGAAAAAGAACACCATCTGATGATTTAAGCCACCATCTGACAATTTAAGTCACTTACTCTTTATATATTTACATTTCCATATGGTCTGCTTTCTGAGTGATGAATTTTCTTTTCTTACAAAGATATCACTGAAATATGGTAAAATTGCCAATTGATTTTGATATCACACTTCTCAAAAAATAATTTAGTATTGCCACATCTAAACAAAAAGCATAAGGGCAGTGAATGGAAAACAGATGTTCATCTCGGTGCGTATTCAAAACAATTTTTTAAAGTCAGATGTCTCTGTATATGTGTTTGTACAGCCTCAAAACACAGTCTTAACAGTTTACATATTTAAATGCTCACTCGTTTGATATAATGTCAACTAAACAAGATAGTGTTAAAATCAACTACTCAATTATTTTTTTCCCCCATCCTTTATTTCTGTGGATTTTTCAAACATCTAATACTGGAAGATCTTGACCCTTTTAACCCAGTACAGGCCCCCCCTCTTATTAATACTTCACCCAATTCTCTTTTTTAAAGTACCCTTTTTAGAGGGAAGTTGGGGCCTACAGTATATTTTAACATTCTGGTGAGAGTTGAGAAACCAAAGCTATCTATCAAAGGGTTATTCAATTTTAGAAAAGGTAACCGGCCATTAGATATTTGTGGGCAATCATTCAAGGAACAAAAAAAAAAAAAAATGAGAATTAGAATTGAAGAAACAAATCTTTAACCCTCAGAAAACCAAGAGATTTTTAAATATCTTATTTTTTTATAGTAGCATTTAGCAAAAGGCAATGAAATTCTATTCCCAAGATGAAGAAGTTGGTGATGATTCTGATAAAAATTCATTTATGTAGAATTATATTGTTTACATTTTCATACACGTTGTCTCATTTATTCCTCCCAACATGCTTGTGTAATCATTTCACAAATAGAGAAAATAAATCTGAGTAATTTCTCCATTAGCCATAGTGAATACAAGACATTAGGGATTCCTGCCGGATTCATCTCTTCCCATGCTTAGTGCCATTTCCCCCGTATCAGCAAATACTTAGGATAACTGTGGGCCTGGGATTGTGGAGGGATTGGAACTAGAGCACATTTAATAAAAAGGAGAAAAGAGTTCCTCACAGCTAATCCTAAGTTAAAAGGGATGTCTTTACTTTGTCTGAGTCAGTGTAAAACCACAAATTATTTTTTTATCAAAACAGAAAACGAAAACAAAGAGAAATGGTAAGTCCTTCAGTCATACTATCCAAGGCAGAGAATTACCATATCCAAGTCATGAATCTCCCCCAAGCCTACAAATATGTGAGATATTCTAGTTCTCTCTTCCTCTGGGATAAAATTGAATAAAACCCTGCAAGACTCATGGGGAAAGCCAAATGTGGAACCAAACCAAAAGCGGCATTTTTGGCAAAACGACAAAACACAGTAAGCCTCTATAACTAATCTGGACTTCAAGCTAGAGATATTTATGAGCTTCTAAAGAGCCACTGGGAGAGTCTCCCCGTGCCCAATGCCCACCTGAGCTTCTGCAAATACATTCCTCACTCACTATGGGGTGCCCACTTTGGGAACTTTGCTAATCAAGCCAGGCACTCAAAATCAAATTTTTGCTATGTAAGCAAATTAGTCTCACTTATAGGAGGTCAGTATTTAGCTTTGTCTCTTTGGAGGCACATGTCATGAATTCTTCAATGACTAATTTAGTTTTGTTTTTCAGTTTGATACTCTGCCCCAAATCCATGTTCTTTCATGGAACTGTAATGTTTTACCTACTTGTCATTATTTTTGGAAAAACAGTTTCTAACTCTCTCATTACTAGTGCTAATTTGCACACTTTGAATTCATGGAGAATTTACCACACTGCTATGTAGCTTCTACAAAGTTTTCAGTTGCTTCAAGAATTTTCACAATTTACAAATCCAATGACAAAGTTTACAGTTACCCATGCATTATAATGTATGCCTTTGTTACATTATAATTTTTATACCCCTGAAACACTCATTATAAATCATAGAAAGCCAAAATCATTGTATTGTTACCTAAATTGGATAGTCTGTTTTTCTCAATTTCTCTTAATTTGATGGATAAAAAATAAATCTATTTTTGTGTGAATTTTTGAATATGAATTATATTTTCAAATGTTTTTATTTTCTCTTTTGTGAATTGTTTGCTCGGGTCTTTTGCCTATTATTTAAGCAACCTGAAGAAACTCTACGGTAAAATTAGGAAGCTGCCAGCCACTTTTTATCACTTGCTTAGGAACTGGTAATGTGACAGTTTATCAGGATTTTATACATAAGGATTCCAGAAGTATATTTCATAACCACAAACTTGAGAGTCACAATTCTTTTATTGTATAAGTGGTAGAATTCCTGAGTGCTTGGTACATTAGTTATTAAAGGAAATAAAACAATTTCAAAATGTAGTAACCATGATGGACTAATTTGTTGCCTACTCTTTATAAAGGAGATATCATTGTGGACAAAAGCAAACCTGAGGGTACATTTATTAAGACTTTCAAAGGCCCTTGACAATAGTTTAGAATAAAAATGATTTGTTTCATTTTCTTTTAACATTTTATAATTTTTTTAATTAAAAAATAATAGGCAATGTGAATCATGTATTTAGAGCAACTTGTCCATGGATAGTGACCTGGCTCGGAGGTAGAAAATCAAGACAAATCTATATTAAATGAAGTAGAATTAAGTAGTGTTGCCCTATGATCAGTGCTGGAAACATCTGACTCTGATGTTTTAGTGATGATTTGGAAGAGAAAATACACAGTGACATTTCCAATTTTCCCATGACATCAAGTTTTTCCAAGTCATGAAATACCAAGTCAAATTGGGAAGGGAGATAGAGGAAGCTCCCATGAGTCTTTGGTTTTGAGATATTACCCTACAAGGGTAAATTGTTCAGGGTAAATCTCTAATGTCTCTGGCCCATTTTAAAGATGTGAACACTGAGTCTCAGAGATGTTAGGGTAAGTCACTCAAGCTTGCTTAGCCAGTAAGTGAGGAGTTTGTATTTGACACCAATCTAAATAAGAGCCTATCCTTTACTGCCCCAATGTGAAAGAGGAAAGAACCACACCCATGAAGGGACCCAGAGCCACCGTGGGCTGAGGGGAGGGCGGGAAGCTGGAAAGTTGGTTTCATTTGGTTTTTTGAGTTGATGGAAAACAAGCAGGTAGATTTAAATGTGGAGAAGTGCGAGGTGATTTTTTTTTTTTTTTTTTTTTTTTTTGAGACGGAGTTTCGCTCTTGTTACCCAGGCTGGAGTGCAATGGTGCGATCTTGGCTCACTGCAACCTCCGCCTCCTGGGTTCAGGCAATTCTCCTGCCTCAGCCTCCTGAGTAGCTGGGATTACAGGCATGCGCCACCATACCCAGCTAATTTTTTGTGTTTTTAGTAGAGACGGGGTTTCACCATGTTGACCAGGATGGTCTCGATCTCTTGACCTCATGATCCACCCGCCTCGGCCTCCCAAAGTGCCGGGATTACAGGCGTGAGCCACCGCGCCCGGCCTGCCAGGTGATTTTTTTTAAGGAAGTCCAGTGCTGCAGGAAAATGAATTCCCAGAACCCATGAGCTTCCTCATACCACTTACCAGCAACACAGACTCTCAACACTCACCCGCCAGCAACATCAACCCAGTTCATTAGCTAAGTTTTCCTGTTTGGAAACACAATAGCCAACATTATCTTACCCAGTGCAAAGTCATAACCCCTTCTACAGGAAGTAAGCTGTGGAAATCTAAAGTGAAATTTTAAAATGTTTATGTATTTCTATGTATTTAATATGTGTTAAGCATTGCGCTAATACTTCACATGCTGGGTAGAATTAGTAAAGCCATACAACAACCCTATAAGGTAAAACTCTAGTGTCATCGGCCCATTTTAAAGATGTGAAAACTGAGTCTCAGAGATGTTAGGTTAAGGCACCCAAGCTTACTCAGCCACTAAGTGAGGAGTTTGGATTTGAAGCCAATCTAATTAAAAACCTATTCTTTACTGCCACCATGTGTGAGAGGAGGAACCATAGCCATGAAGGGACCCAAAAGACAGTGAGGATGCAAAAGGTAGAGATGGGTCAAGTTAAAGCAAACAGAATGTAAGTCCAAGATAAGGTAATTTATTTATGAGTCATTAATGCAAGTGCTACAATGGAAAATTCTTTAAATGTAAAATGTTTAAACTAGTAAGTGATACATTTGCAATCAGTGGATTGAGGAAAATTAAGTCACTGGAGAGAATATTCCTGTGCTTGAGTTGGCACTAAAGAAAGATAACTATGTCTGCCTTCACCAGAACCCGTGGTATTGCTGTCAGAAAAAGAAGGCTTTGGTCAATGAGACTGCACGTTTGTGTATAACGATTCTTGTTTTTTCCCTGTTGCCAGGCTGGAGTGCAATGGCGCCATCCCACTCACTGCAACCTCCGCCTCCCTAGTTCAAGTAATTCTCCTGCCTCAGCCTCCCGAGTAGCTGGGATTACAGGCATGTGCCTTCATGCCCAGCTAATTTTTGTATTTTTAGTAAAGACGAGGTTTCACCATGTTGGTCAGGCTGATCTTGAACTCCCAACCTCATGATCCGCCCCCCTCAGCCTCCCAAAGTGCTGGGATTACAGATGTGAACCACCACACCTGGCTGTGTATAATGATTCTTAATCTGTACTTTGAAAATGTATCATTAGATATGTTTACTCCCCACCCTCTTTTTTTTTTTTTTTTTTTTTTTGTTGGCCTGGCTTTGGTTTTTTGGACTGTTTTTCCTTATATCTAACTTAGATTCTGATAAGCCGTAAGCTGCTTCCCCACCTGGGCGCCTTAGAATATGCATTTTTCCCCTTGCTGGGATGTTCTTTCTCCTCACCTTCCTACTACCATTCAACAGAGAAGGCTTCTGGGTAAAGTAGAGAGAGCATCATGTTACTTTTATTTGCTAAATCAGGGAATTCTACATTCTGGAAAGAATCTCCTGTTGAATATACCTCTGATATTTATGACAACGGTGATTTTAAAAACTGTTCATTTACCACATCTTTCCCTGAGTCCACGGTCCATGGCAGCAAAGGCCATGTCTGTCCAGCACCCACTGTGCCCAGCTCAGTGCCTGGCACGCAGTGCACCATCAGCAAGTCCTGGTTCAATGCAGGAGATGCTTTGATTGCAGATGAAGCACGGTAGCTCTGTTTTACGGGGGTGGGAAACGTCTGGTCACTACCATTTATGAAATATTTGATGCCTGAAAACCCATTATTATTAGGTCATTCCTTGTCCTAGGCTTTATTTTTGTGAGTTTTTTTCTCTCATGAAGAACTTATTTCCAGAAACTCCTGATTGGCAAGGAAAGCTCACGTTTTACTTTCTCCAATACCCTTATTTAAGTTCTCTCTGACTCTTCAGGTCACCAACAGTTAGTGGGAAAATCTACCAATGCTGCAGCAAAGACACTCTCCCATCTTTGATGGGAGGTATTCAAACATCTCCAATCAGCAAATCCGTGGTTACCACAGATATTCAGCCTCACAGCAATGTGTGTTGCCTGTATTTTTAGAATTTTTTTTAAAAAAGCAATCATTATTATTTAACAACTTGTAATGCTGACCTGATAAACATTAAAATATTTGAGGCTAAGTAAGCTCCTAATTTTTAAAACAGTTTTTGTTATGGAGCAATTTGAAAG